ATATATATATATATATATATATATACACAATAGGTAAATACAGTAAAATAAACTATTAGTTATCCTGTACTGTTACCAGTGTGGAGGTTTTTAATGTTCAAATATTTTTAGTTACTGTACAAGAAAGTCCATCCATCCATTATCTTTGCCCACTTACATGTTTTTGGTCTGTGGGAGGAAACCCAGAGAAAACCCACGCATGCACGAAAAGAACATGCAAACTCCACCCACAAAGGTCCTGGACCAGGATTTGAAACATGGACCCTCTCGCTGAGCGGCGGCAGCTCTACCAACTGTGCCATCATGCTGACCATACAAGAAAGTCCATAAATTCTCATTTTCTAAAATTTGCACAATAGAGTGATACACTTTTCATCAAATTCCTAAAAGTTGATGCTGAAAAGAAGTGTTTGTCTTTATATTATGTTGTTATACTTTATAAGGATGATATTTATACAACTGTAGCTCAGACAGTCCTGTGCTCAATACAAAATAACTAACAAATTGATATTTACATTTGCCACATCGATAGATGTCTCGCTGCATTAAAACAACTTTTTTTCACTTAAATGGATTATATTTTAGGGCAGCACGGTGGATCAGGTGGCAGAGCTGCTGCCTCTCAGCAAGCAGGTTTTCCTGGTTCAAACCCCGGTCCGGGGGCCTTTCTGGGTGTAGTTTACATGCTCTCTCCGTGCATACATGGGTTTTCTCCGGGTACTCCTGTTTCCTCCCACAGACCAAAAACATGCATGTTAGACTGATTGGTAACTCTAAATTGTCCCTAGGTGTGAGTGAAAGAGTGAATTGTTGTTTGTCTCGTTTGTCTCTATGTGTCCCTGTGATGGACTGGAGACCTGTCCAGGGTGTACCCCGTCTCTCACACAGTGATGGTTGGACATGGGCACCAGTGGTGCCACGACCCGAAAAGGAAGAAGCGGGGAAAGATAATGCATGGATGGATTATATTTTAAAGATTTCATCTCTTTTACTCATTTAATACAATTTATTTTCCTTTATTGAACTACATATATTTACTTCACAGAACGATTTGAACAATAGACAAGCTTAGTACATACAGATAACTCAAATGTTTATTTTGCTTGATCTGGTTTTGAATGGAATTGTGTAGATAATAATGATAAACCACAAAACACATGAAACTACCAGAGATAACACTGAGTGGATTAAAAATAGGTTCAACTGAGACATTTGCATAAATTATGCTCATAAATTTAATTATTTTAGTGTTGATGAAGTTTGATTCCAAGAAATAAAGCTGCAGAAAACCATGAGTTTACTGTAGTCACAACAGGCGATGCACGCTCCCGCTGGACCACCGTGTCTCCTGGCAGGAGTTTGATCACGCGCAGGTCAGGTGTGTGTCTGGTAATGATGTCAGTCCCAACACGTAACATTTAATACAAAGTTTAATTTTAGACACAGAAGTTGGAGGTCGGGGCACAATGAGGGAGGAGGGGGTGATGATGAGGAATAAGGGACATTTTGTGTCTTCCCTTCTGCACAGAACTGGTCACATGCAAACATCTATGGACATTTATTAATGTTGTCCATATTTACAGCAGGACGGGTGGTTCTGTTGGGAGGGTGGGCCGAACTCCTTGGATAATGGAAAACACTGCTGTACTCAGCTCAAACTGAAGGAAAAAATATATAATCTCAATCTAATCAATTCAACAATCTAATCTCTGACTAAGGCTCTGTTGTGATTAAGACTTTCTGTGATGAGCAACAACTGACTCATTTATCATTAACTTCATACTTCCTGGGCCAGATGGAATGAGCTCATGGGCCGGTTGTGGCCCGAGACCCTTCAGTTGGTGGTTGTTTGTTTGCATTTAAGTTTTAAAGAAGTGAGTTAACGTTTGCATCCTGGTTTGTAAATTGATGAATAAATGGTATGAAATGAAGATTCACCTTGCAGCTCGTGGAAACTCTCCTGGTGTTTGTTGGACGTCTCTCTGGCCTCTTCAAGCTCGAGCAGCAGCTGCAGTACCTGGGCCTTCAGCTCCTCCAGCTCCTGCTCCTCTGTTAGCACCTCCTGCTCCATCATCCTCTTCTCCTCGCCCTCATCCTCCTCCTCCTTCAGCTTCTTCTCTTCCCCCTCGTCCTCCGGAGATCTTTCGCGGTCCATCTCCTCCTTCTCGTTGTTCTCCAGGACGCCTCGCTCCTTGGCTGTTATCTCGTTTTCTGTGGTGGGGCTGCTGTCGGCCTTCAGATCACTGGGGTCATCTGATGAAAAGAGACACCATATTAAAAACAAAAAGACCTGCGTTCCCTCAGTCCAGCCACGCTTGGAGACTGTTTCTGATCCAACAGCACCATCTTGTGATTCTAGTGTCTCTAATTATTTTGCACAACAATCACTACTTTAAACCTTAAGACCCTAAAACATTCGATGTGGCTGACAACTACAGTTAGGATGATTTTATTATCGCAAATCCAGGTTCTAGAAAAAGAATATCACATGCAATCTGTAATATTTATAAAATATCTAGATATTAATTAAACACTGCTCATCATATTTTAAAGGTTGCATCAATCAGCCACAGTGTTCAGTGTTCCTCTGTGAATACAAATATTTGACCAGTAGGTGGCATGAATTAGCTGAAACAATGCAGCACTGGGGGGGTCACTATGACTCACCGCTCAGCAATGCACCTCAAAGTCCATAATAACACCAGCTACCATTCATACACACACACACACACACACACACACACACACACACACACATGTCCCACACTACGTTGTGTCATGTTACATGGTCGCCTGAGGAATCTGGTCATTTCTGTCAGCCAGAGCTGTGTGAGTGTGTGTGTGTGTGTGTGTGTGTGGGGGGGGGTTGGGCACGTATTCTCGTAATTCTGACTTTGTGGGGACTTTGCATTAGCCTAACCCTGGCCCTTACCCTAAACCTAACCATTACTGGTCCATGCCTAACCCTAACCCATCCACAATTTACACTTTAGTCCTAACCCTAACCCCTACATCAACATGACTTCTTCTTATGGGGACCAAAGCCAGGTCCCCATAAGGAGAAGTTGGTCCTGTAGAATTTTTTGCAAAATTGGTCCCCACAATGTAACTTGAACAAAATACACACACGTGCGTGTGTGTGTGTGTGTGTGTGGGGGGGGTGGTGTTGCAAAACCAAGTAAGACTTGAGATGAGATGCAACGACATACAAAATACTTGATTTGGATGTTGGGAGAGCTGCGTTTCTTTAAGGAGGCACAAATAAAATACAGGCCTGAGACAGAGGTAACAATAAACTGTGAACTACAGACAGATCTTTCACCATCAGACAGACGGACGGACGGACGGACGGACGGACGGACGGACGGACGGACGGACGGACGGACGGACAGACAGATAGATAGATAGATAGATAGATAGATAGATAGATAGATAGATAGATAGATAGATAGATAGATAGATAGATAGATAGATAGATAGATAGATAGATAGATAGATAGATAGATAGATAGATAGATAGATAGATAGATAGATAGATAGGAATTTGAGGCATCCAGTAGCATGTTCTAATTAAAGTATACAGAAAAAAATCACATGAAATAATTTAAAAAAAAGAAGCAGACTACACAAATTTGGAAAAAGACTGCACAAGGTGGTAGGGAATACTACATTTATGATTAACCTATATATATGAATACATACATACACAACTAAGGATACACACGCATATGTACATGTATATATATACATACATACACGTACAGTGGGTACAGAAAGTATTCAGACCACTTTAAATTTTTCATTCTTTGTTCCATTGCAGTCTTTTGCTAAAATTAAAAAAAAAAGTTAATTTTATTTCACATTAATGTACACTCAGCACCCCATCTTGACATAACAAACCAGAAATGTAGAACTTTTTGCAAATTAATTGAAAAATAAAAACTGAAATATCACATGGTCATAAGTATTCAGACCCTTTGCTGTGACACACATATTTAACTCACATGCTGTCCATTTCCTTTTTATCCTCCTTGAGATGTTTCTACTCCTTCACTGGAGTTCAGCTGTGTTTAATTCAACTGATTGGACTTGATTAGGACAGGCACACACCTGTCTATATAAGACCTCACAGCTCACAGTGCATGTCAGCGCAAATGAGAATCATGAGGTCAAAGGAACTGCCCAAGGAGCTCAGAGACAGAATTGTGGCAAGGCACAGATCTGGACAAGGTTACAAAAGAATTTCTGCAGCACTCAATGTTCCTAACAGCACAATGGCCTCCATAATCCTTAAATGGAAGAAATTTGGGATGACCAGAACTCTTCCTGGACCTGGCCATCCAGCCAAACTGAGCAATCGTGGGAGAAGAGCCTTGGTAAGAGAGGTGAAGAAGAACCCAAAGATCAATGTGGCTGAGCTCCAGAGATGCAGTAGGGAGATGGGAGAAAGTTCCACAAAGTCAACTATCAGAGCATTATGGCAGAGTGGCCTGATAGAAGCCTCTCCTCAGTGCAAAGCATATGAAAACCCACAGAGAGTTTTGCCAAAAAACACATGAAGGACTCCCAGACTATGAGAAATAAGATTCTCTGGTCTGATGAGAGGAAGACTGAACTGTTTTGTGTTAATTCTAAGCGGTATGTGTGCAGAAAAACAGGCACTGCTCATCACCTGCCCAATACAATCCCAACAGTGAAACATGGTGGTGGCAGTATCATGCGATGGGGGTGTTTTTCAGCTGCAGGGACAGGACGACTGGTTGCAATTGAAAGAAAGATGAATGCGGCCAAGTACAGAGATATCCTGGAAGAAAACCTATTCCAGAGTGCTCTGGACCTCAGACTGGGCCGAAGGTTCACCTTCCAACAAGACAAAGACCCTAAGCACACAGCTAAAATTACAACAGAGTGGCTTCGGAACAACTCTGTGACCATTCTTGACTGGCCCAGCCAGAGCCCTGACCTAAACCCAAATGAGCATCTCTGGAGAGCCCTGAAAATGTCTGCCCACCAATGTTCACCATCAAACATGACGGAACTGGAGAGGATCTGCAAGGAAGAGTGGCAGAGGATCCCCAAATCCAGGTGTGAAAAACTTGTTGCATCATTCCCAAGAAGACTCATGGCTGTACTAACTCAAAAGGTGCTTCTACTCAATACTGAGCAAAAGGTCTGAATACTTATGACCATGTGATAATCCAGTTTTAATTTTTTTTTTAATTTGTAAGTTTCTACATTTCTGTTTTTTTATGTCAAGATGTGGTGCTGAGTGTGCATTAATGAGAAATAAAATGAACTTGTTTGATTTTAGCAAAAGGCTGCAATGAAACAGTGAAAAATTTAAAGTGGTTTGAATACTTTCCGTACCCACTGTACATAAGTGTCCGGAGTGCTGCAGATTTACAGACAGAGTTCTATTTTTACTGTACGGGGAGGAGTTGAACAGTGCGGGACAAAGGACTTCCTGAATCTGTGGAGCAGGGCAGGGACAGCATCTACCACTGAAGGAGCTCCTCTGCCTCATGATGGCCCCGTGCAGAGGATGGTCAGTATTGTCCATGATGAATAGCAGCTTACAGAGAGCCCTTTTCTCTGCCACTGATGTAAGGAACTCCAGCTCTGCTCCCAACACAGAACCAGCTTTCCTCACCAGCCTGTCAAGTCGCCCTGCATCTCTCCTCTTAATGCTGCCTCCCCAACACACAACAGCACAGAAGAGGACAATGGCTACCACAGACTGGTAGAACATCAGCAGTTTTCTGCAGATATTGAAGGACGCAAGCCTCCTCAGCTCTGATACTTTCTGTAGAGGGAGTCAATGTTCACTGACCAGTCCAGCCTGTCATGCAGTTGTATGCCCAGATATTTGTAGGTTCTGACCACCGCCACATTGACCCCCTCAGTTGAGACTGGCTTCAGGGTAGGCCCAGAACTTCTGAAGTCCACTACCATTGCCTTTATTTTACTGATGTTCATCTGTAGATGGGGTCATTAGTCAGATAAGAGACTGAGGTGAGCAGCTGCTCTTATTCACAGAGGGTTTATCTCTAACCTGTCCTTTAGGGTCAGGCCGGTCCATCTCTAAAACAAACCAACGCGCAGTGTTGTACTTTTGTGACTAACTTGGAACAAAATCAACAGGAAGTGAAGGTCTAGCATTTCATGAATAAATGAATATTACATATTTTTCATCCCAGAGTTTAGGACTACCAGTATAGCTTATGTTAAGACGGAGTTTTAGCCTTTTTGGTCAAACCTTGAAAAAACATAATGCACAATGTCATGCGATGCCGTGACATGCTATACTAAGAGTATGTGTTGTGGTTGATTTTCAGCTGCAACCATGACAAATTTAGGCTCAATGTCTGTAATGTAATGTTAATCTTATGTTTGTGCTGCTGTTCAACATATTGTTTTTGTACTACTAGTGCTCCAGCCTGTGGAGAGGACACTGGCGTTGTTTGTTCGCCGCTTCTCCGTCTGGATGCTAACATTTTAAAGTATTTTTTATTTTTCCCTGATTTTATTCACTTTTGTGGTCAGCTTGCGGCTTCGGATTATGTTTTTGTTGTTGTTAGGAAGACTCTGCTATTTTGCATTCCTGCTACTGTGTGACGCCGTGTCTCCCTCTTCAGCTAGCATGATGCTAAGCTACTCTGCTGGGGAGCTGTTGAGCCTTAATAATTGCAATGTCCATGTGGATCTTCTGGACGTTTCCATCATCAAAAGGCTGGGTCTTTTTCGACGTCCTCCTTATGCCCACAGAAGCTCCCGGAGAAAGCATATTTTTAATCGGACTGGGTCCTCCATACCGGTCACCTGGTCAGCTGAACGTTCCGGCGCATGGTGCTCACGTTATCAGAACACTGCGGCTCTTAGGATTTGTAGTCCTGACGTGACTACAGCAGTTCCTGCATTCTCTCAAGTGCAGGATGGGAAACGTGGAGTGGATTTTAATCTTCTCAAGCCTATTAAAAAATACATGGCTGCGCCTTATCTTAAAATCGAACTCTTCAATGTGCAGTCCTTGACTAATAAAGCATGCCTTATCCAGGAACACATTCTGGATAAGGATTTGGATATTATGTGCCTTACAGAGACTTGGCATCAGCCAAACATTTTCTCTGCTCTCAATGAGGCATGTCCTGCTGGATATAAATATCTCCAGAGAGCACGGAGTTCTGGTCGTGGCGGTGGTCTAGCCGTCATTTTTAAAGATCATTTGGACCTTTCTCCTGTGACTCTGTCTGAGT